GCGACATTGTCATCATTATCATAATCACCATCATCATTGAAATTGTCCATCTTTTTATACTGTATAGAAATTGGGGGCATGTACCATATTCATTCAATTAGAAATTAATTTAACACATAAAATAAATATAAAATTAGAGGATATAGATAAAAATAAATTAATTTAACAATAAGAAATTAATTGAACACATAAAATTAGAGGATTTAGACAAAAAATAAAATTAGACAAGCATCAGCAGAATACTTGCAAAGATTGGAATGCCTCTTGGTTGTTTAACAATTCAGAATGGCAAACAAGTTCACCATGAGAATATATATAGACAGTGTCATTGCAATGTCCATCATTTAAAATAATATTTTTTTAAAATTTCTTTCAAATCTTGCAGGCAAATAGACAAATAATAGCTAAAGCCTGTGACCTGAAATTGCAAGGACAAAATCACATGGCACACAAGTGGGCCAATACAACTTGCAATAATACTTCTTATTCCATTTGTGAGAGCACAAATCAAATTTGCCACTGAGGCAAACATAAATACAATATCAAGCTAAATTAATTGAAGATAGTCCTAATGCCTTTTTTTTTTAAAAAAAAAAAAATCATTCGCACAATGAACTAATCACGAAAACCAAGAATGCGAGCCTTTTCCAAAGCAATTTCAAGATTAATAAACTTCAAACCTAATACACCATTAGGCAAAGCCATGAAAGACTCCCGAAGCGAGGGTTTCATGAACAACCTCGCAGCCCAAACTAAAAGGTCATCGTCTTCACTAATGCCAGAGATTGTGCTAATCTTAGCCAAACACTCAGTTATTGTGTGCTGATTTTGTATAGCAGCATTCTGTGTACCAGTTGAAGATGATGCCTCCACAGCATTGACAATGTGCTTAACTATCTTACTCAACTCACCGATAGTCGATTGTTTTTTGTTCTTCTTTTGTTTCTTTGATGGACCCTCTTTTTGGCGACGACATTGGTTGCTCAATTCAAACGGATGGATTTCCGTATCAGTATCATCACCTAGTGGGGTATGAGATCCCTTAGTGTCAAGAAACACTTCAGAGCTTGAGGTGTGTGCCCACTCACCAGGTGCAAAAACATCAGAGAATAGTATGTCCATGTCATCGGCCAATGTCAATGGCTTCTCACGAAATTGCATCAGGATACCTCTATAACAAAATATGGACAAATAATTACAAATATATAAATCATAGAGCTCAAGTACAAGTGAGCAAGAAAAAAAAATTAACATAATTCATTGACCTGCAGCTTCAAATTCCACCAATCATTAGATGCCATGATAGCTCCAATCAAGAGATCTAACCCCAGTCCAGTCTCACATCTCAATAGATTTTTCCAAAGACCTCACTCATTTTTTAAGGTATCCCAACGATTTTTAAGCTAAATGAGAACATATGACTTTCCAGTTGTAATTTTGAACTTGTTAATAACTATTTCCCAACCAACCCTATCTAAGTGCGTACCAGGTCTGTGACCTGCTTTCACTTGCTCCACACAAAGTTTGACAAAAAAATTAGTGGATTTTGTGTCCCAATGTGCCTTTAAACCTTGTGAGGGTTGGGAGTTTTGGAAAGCTTTTCCCTTGCTCTTTGTAGTTGTTGAAGATTGAGATGGTGGTTAGGAACTCATTTTCTATTAAAAAAATCATAATAATAAAAACACTTGAATTGCAACAATAGTTTGAACAAACCCTTACTCATATTATTAAAAACCATATCAACAAAAAAAAAATAAAAAACAGATTTGTGTGTGTGAGACAACAACAGATTGGTGTGTTAAGCACTCCTTCAAAACATGAACAGATTGGTGTGTTAAGCACTCCCACTAAAGTATTACACTTAACATTCATTTTCACTCTCTTACTTCTCATCTGATATCTTTTAACTCTCATTAATTATAAATAATTACCTTGATATTCTAAATGATCTCTAATTTTTGTTAGTATCCTCATTTCTAAAGATACAAAATACGGGGCAGGAACAGTATACTACAACTATAGCCCCTTGCTATTCCTATATTGCAATTCCACACTCATTGAACTAACAAACCATAAATTAGTTTTTTTGATTTTGTCTTTTTTTTTTTTTTTTGATAAAATTAGTTGAACCTTGCTTCAAGCCAAAATCCTTTACTCGTTTTTGCCTCTTTTTTTCTTTTTTTTTTTTTGTTGATAAAATTAGTTGAACCTTGCTTCAAGCCAAAATCCTTTACTCTTCCCTTTCACATGTACTCACTGTCTGTCTCCGCTCATATTTCCTTTACTTACCAACTTTTAGTTGAAGCTTGCATTCAACTCTCTCTTGCACCACCACCAAAAACCTTTAACATCTTTGAAACCAATGCAACTTGTAAAGAGTCCAATTTAGCTGTCCTTCACATTCACTGTGGAGTTGTCTTCAACGATAATGACCTAGCAGTGGGGATTGGTGTTGTGTTCAAACTTCGTTATTATCCTGTGGACTTTTTATTCAAGAAAATTATTATTCAAAGGCCTTGTACTTACATAGCAACAGCCATTGGTACTGTCAAATGGGCCCAAGAACACTTTTTTGCACATCTTTTACCTTCAGAAATTTTTGGGCAACCAAACACTAATTACAACAAAGCAATCCTAAAATTTTCAATTGTGGAGCTCTGAATATGAATATTAACAACAAAAACTCAAAAAAAAAAAAAATCAAGAAGAGAGAAAATGAAGTACGAAAAAAACACAAACAAAGCATTTATAAACCAAAAATCAATGCAATGGCAGTCAACTCCTACACATATTTTTAATATCAAAGCATGAATAAAATTTTCCTAAATTTCCTAAACCCTAACTATTCTTATTTTCCCCAATTTGAACAAATTTGACATAGACAAAATCACAAATAACCAAAATAATATATATATATATACATACATACCGAACAAGAGAGAAAAGGAAAAATCAGAGATAAAGGAAACAAACCAAAGCCGCAAACACCAGAGCCGAAAAGAGAGAAAGAGATAAAGAGATCCATCACCGAAAACGAACTAAAGCTGCACGTCGCCGGAAGTGTACCAAAGCAGGAAACAAACCAGAGCCACACGTTGTCGGAAGTAAACCAGCGCCAGAAGAGAACCAGAGTCGCAGGTATGCTGCTGCGTTGCTGCTTGTGGTTGTATATCTCTTGCCAAAGAGAAAGATTAGGGCAAAAAATGAATATATATAGGTGGTATAAGAGTAAATAATTCAAAACACCAAGGGCATTTAAGTATCTTTACCCTCCACATAAACCTCGTGAGAATCTGAAGCAACTCCAGGCAGCTTCTGAAATTTAGCTTTTTTTACCTTCTGCATAAGCTGTAGAAGTTTAAGCTGAAGCTGATTGAAGTCTGCCAAACAGTTTAAATATACTTTTTTTAAGCTAAAAGCTAGAAGTTGGTTAAAATAATCTTGAACAAACACCACCAAAAAAGATTGGGTTAAAAAAGAAAAAAAAAATCATTTTTACCTCTACATTTTTTCTCAATTTTCAATGTTATTCCTAGATTTTGAATAATTTCAATTTTACCCTCAAATGTTTTGAAATCGTATCATTTTTACCTCTACCGTCACATTTGTAACAGAAAATGTTTAAAAATAAAAAATAAAAAATTCATTTTGGCCCAAATTATAAAAGAAATATGCAAATCTACATTCTTCTACCTAAACTCATCATCTCTCATCTTCCTCCAATTCTTCCTCTTCTCTGCCCTTGCAAGCAGTACCACCACCACAGTAATCACTCAATTCTCTGACCCAACTTCTTTCAAACCCAAATTCAATCACTCAATATATATACATATATATGTATACATATCATCTCTTCATCAACTTCTTTCAAACCCAAATTTACTCACTCAATGTTCTCTCAAACCATATCAATTCTCTCTCTCTCTCTCTCTCTCTCTCTCTCTCTATATATATATCTATATATATATATATATATATATCATCTCTTCAATCAACTTTACCAACATCACCACCCGAACCACCACCTTCGTTGCCACCAAACTCCATTACCTCCACCATGAGCTTCACCATCACCATCACCTTTCAACGCTAAACCCATATTATTCACAACCAAGTTCCATTACTACTACCATCAAGCTCTATGACCATCATCACCACGAGCTTTGCCACCATCGCTGGACCACCACCACCATCGGGCCGCCACCACCACCATCACCAGCTCCGTTACCACCTAGAATCATACTTCACATCATGTTATAATTTGGATAGGTGTTTGAATAGATAGGGGAAAAAATTGAATAGATAGTTAAAAAAATTGAACAAATAGATATGAATTTGAATAGATAGAAAATAATTTGAAAAGCTAGATATAAATTTGAACAATTAGTCAAAAAAGTCAAACAGATAAAAAAAAAAGGTCAACAGATAACTCAAGAGATAAAATTAGAAACAAAAATGTCTTTCAAAACAAATAAAAGACTTCTCACAAAATTATTTCACAAAAAGTAAATTTCTCACTAATAAAAAATATCGACTAAATCTAATGCATTATGATGGTGTTTGGGAAGTGGGTTTTTATATAGGTTTTTTTAGTTGTAGATTTTTATTGGATAAAAAAATTTTAGTGTTTGGGAAGATAGTTGGATTTTTATGTGGTTGGGTGTGATATTTGTGAGAGAAAAAGTGAAATTATTATGGAGTTGGATGTGATATTTTGTTTGGATGTATTTTTTTTTTTATTTTGTAAAAAATTTGTCTTTTAATAAAAAAAATAAAAAAAAAAATTTGGAACCTAGGTTCCTACACACTACCATCATCCTCAAGTTAGACATTTTAACCATTATTGTTTTTATATTAATTTTTTTAAAATAATTAAAAAAAGAAAAAGTTACAACTGACTTTGTACTAGCGGCTCATCCAAACATGGACAGAACAGAACTGTGTTCGGTTAGGCCGTCCTAACCAGTTCCGAACCGGACCAGCTGACATTGACTTCAGAGGGTGTGTGTCGCGAGTCATGACTCACTCACGCTATGATTGATTGGGAACGCCCAAAAAGAACTCGCACTTGTAAAACACACGTGCCCTTTTTTGACCCATCACGACTCGCAGAAGCTTCGGAAACCCCATTTGGCTACCCCCCCCAATTCCTAGCTCTTTTCTCTCTCCTCTCTCTTTTCTCTCTTCAATTAACGAAGCTCGATCACTGGGTCTTTGACTCGAACAATTCACTGAATCTTCAACCAATTAGCCGCGTGTTTCGTTGAATCAGGTTAGTTTTATTGCCCCTACCTTCTCATGCTGTCTCTGTTTCGATGCTCAATTGGCTTTCTTTTGTGCTCTCCTTTTTTCTGATCGAAGAGGGTTTTTCTTTGAATTCTCGCTTCGAAGTCTTTTTAAAGTTCAATTCTAATTGCTGTTATTGTTTTCTTGGATTGTTACCCGTGAAATTAAAATTCAGAAATTGAAATCTTGTATATTTATGCATTATTTTATTTTATTTTTTGCTTGAATGTGGTGTGTGATTGACAGGATTTCTGGAATTAATCAGTGAAGGGAACCAATCACAACTTGTTTTGAGGTTAATTGTGATCTGGGTTTTGTTCATTTTGTTACAGAATGCAATAGTGCAGTTTGTATCAACTTTTAATGCGAACACACTGATATTAGGGTTTTGGATTGGGAAGTGGGGTTATGGGTTCTCTGCAGTTGATGGGAATCAAAATGCCGGTGGGTCAGCAGCCCTCCACTGTAGAATTGAAACTTCAAATTGAAAGAAATCTTGGGTTTGAGAAAGCAGAAAAGTACTTTTGTCTTTTGAACCGATACTTGCGTCTCAAGATTAGCAAATCGGAATTTGATAGGCACTGCATTGGTACAATTGGGAGAGAGAACATCTGCCTTCATAATCGACTTATCCGAGCAATTATAAAAAATGCATGTGTTGGTAAGACTCCTCCACCAAAAGAGAGCAAAACTGGCAGTTCATTGAATGTTAAAGTGTCAAATGGGTATCAAAGAAGTAGTCTTCAGTCGCTCTGTAGAGACGTTTTTCCTCAGTCTCCACGGAAGGGAAGGTCACCGAGTTTTCGGGATCGGAAGTCTAAGGACCGTCCCAGTCCTCTTGGGCCTCATGGGAAGGCGCATAGTGTTGGATGTGAAGATTCTGTTCCTAAAATTCAGGAACAACAAAGTGCCACCGAGCTGCTTTCTTTAGGTAGTGGGACACCTCCTGAAGGAAACTCTGTGGAAGAGGGTGAAGAGGTTGAGCAAGCTGCTGGCAGCCCAAGTATTTACAGTAGAAGCCCTGTCAGAGCACCTCTTGGCATGTCCATAAACGGGAAAGAAACACGGAAAGTACTGCGTAAGGGATCGGCAACTGCCTCTCATATACACTCATGCCTCAATAATGATGAGCTTCCCAACACCAGTTCTCTGAAGACCAGATTGGAGCAAAAGTTAGAGATGGACGGCTTGAAATTTTCAATGGATTGCGTTAGCCTGTTGAACAACAGTATCGACATTTACCTGAAGAGGTTGATAAAGCCATGTTTGGAATTAGCTGCTTCAAGGTCTGGAAATAAGCACTCAAGTGAAGTACCTGATCAGGTTGTATTTGGTTTGAATGGGATGATGCCCGTGAGATATGTACATAAAGCAAACAGACCCGTTTTTGCATCCTTGTTGGACTTTCGAGTTACAATGGAATCAAATCCTAGGAGGCTTGGAGAAGATTGGCCAGTACAACTTGAGAAGATTTTCTTGCGTGCATCAGATCAAGAATGAGTTCGACTTCATCTAAGTGATAACGTGTTATTCTGATTCTAGGGTCCAGTCTAACAGTGACATAGACTCCACATTTTTATGAGTGATGCTGGAGGGCTTACATGCTTAAAGCTATGAAAATTTTGGATCAAGGCGATTAGGTTGTATGTATATACATCTCAGTGCTGATTACGGGACACGTCACGTGGTAAAGTATAGTGTCAACACTTGTAAAAATCTAGCCACTAAAAGTAGCTCAGTTGTCTACTTCGACTAATTTGTATAGTTTTCTCATTTTTATAACAAAATAATGTTATTGGTAGGGTCCCAGACCTCTAGAAAGGTGGAGGAGCAAGAGTTGTCGTGATAGAAAAGAGAAATGACTATATCCTCCACACTTGATCATCATTTGATATATTATCCAACCCCAGGCAATCTTAATTATTGGTGGTGGTTGAGGCCGTTTGATTGTATTTGTTTGATCATTCAATTTCTATAGTTTGTTCATCTTATTGACGTTTTGTTAATAAAGCTTGTCTTTGGAGTTGCCAGAATTATTGTGGTTTGAATTGTTGTTAATTTTGTAATGTTTTCAGTGAGCTTGAATAAATTATTTTTGTGAAAAAATAAAATGTCTCTCGCACGGTTTAATTATTTTATGGTTTTGTTGCTCACTTTGTTTATTTCTTGTGGATTTTTCTGTGTTGCCTAGTCACTTTCAAGTTCATCCTATATACATCACAGGATGAAGAACAGGGTACTAGACATGTCTATTCCCTTTTCTTTGATGACATGTGGGCTATTGATGCATGGACTGTAGTGGAATTCAGTGCAAGAATAATTGATGTCAAATTGAGCTTTGATGCAATATATTATACATACAAAAACGTGCACATGCACATTCTTTGGTGGTGTTGATGCCACAAAAGAGTTCATTGCTTCCACTCTATTTAATTTTCATCCGTCGAAACAGAAGCACTTAATGTGATGTGGAAGCAATAGTTCCAACTCTGGCATTATCCTATTCTTTTTATTTTAGAGTCGATCTTTTCTGTATCATTTAAAATTGTAGTCTACCTTCATAATTTACAGATTGACTTCCTCTGCTGGGGAGAGTCCTTAAAATACAACTGCAAGTTTCACGTACTTCCTGGAAATCATGTAGGGTCATTTGGGGATTGAATTTTGTTGTTTTTTATTTTTTGGGGTAAGGAATGTTATATTCTGTTTGATACCATAGGCTATAGTTCTGTTAGGGATCCCGGAATAGTTGAACTTCAAAGGAGAGAATATGGGGGATAGCAATGTCTAAGGCTTGGGCTAACACGGTGCTTTAAAATGTAAATGAATAATAGTTTTGTGGACTCAAATTACATTTCAATTTTCTTCTTGCAAATAATTTGCATGAATTTACGCCCTTTGATTTCAGTGTACAATAGTTTCATTGACTCTTATTACATTTTAATTGTGTGCTTGCAAATAGTTTTCTTGAATTTCTCATTCCGACTATACCGTGGACCTGTAATAGCAAATGGATATTCACCTGTACTATAAATGTTGTTTTTTCTTTTGTGAAACTAATATTGAGTCTACACATGAATGCTTGTTGCTTCTTTTATGTTTCTATGTGTATTTGCCAGCCCCAAATGATTGCACATTTAAATTATATAGGAAAGTAGATGGTATTAGGTTCTTTGATAATGGTGAATGATATTTGATTCAAGTGAAATTTGCAGTATTATGACTCTTAACTCCTCCATTTTAATTCTCATTTGTGTCTTTTAGTATTTGGCATTCCAGTATAATTTTATCTTGAGACTTGAGATGAAAAGAGCTAACAGATGTGATCTTTTTGAACAATGTTGGATGATATTTGCCTCAACAGCTGAAGTGATTTACGGTAAACACGAACAAACTCTTTAAAACTCTTATGGATTTAATGACTGAAATTTATTTGATCTGTTGTGGAATCGGAGATAATTGCCACTAAATAAGAGTAAAGTTGGGTACACAAAATTCAACAACTGAAAAATGTGCAGAATATTCATGTATGTATTTTTCTACCGTTAAATTCTGTGTATATACAACTGCCACTAAAGATAAAACTAAAAATAATTTGTCATTCTGAATTTATTGACATATATTTGATTGTATCTCTATGTCATATTTGAAAATCGATGTTTCTAGGAATTAGACTCTAGATTGGTTACCCATATGCCTCATGGTCTATATGTAAGTACCAGTTATTTTACTTTTTATACTATTTAAATTGTGTTTGAATCTTTAGGAGGGGGGAGGAAATGTGAATGTTATGAAAGCTAATTTTTTCTTTTACCAAATCATCTACCTTTTTCTGTTCCTTTTAAAAAATTATCAACAAATCCGAAGAAGAAGAAGAAGAAGAAGAAGAATACAAGGCATGAAAGTTAAAACAAAAATACAATTATATGGCTTCATTTTCGAAGTTATTTATTCCGAAATCCAAATCAAATTGCAAGACAACATAGAATGTCTTGGATTATTACAATATCATAGGACAATCCAATACATTTATAGTGCATACACAAACCCACCCGAAATATTTGTCTAGTCAAAGCTATATATATATATCATCTCTTCATCAACTTTACCAACATCACCACCCGAACCACCACCTTCGTTGCCACCAAACTCCATTAACTCCACCATGAGCTTCACCATCACCAGCACCTTTCAACGCTAAACCCATACTATTCACAACCAAGTTCCATTACTACTACCATCAAGCTCTATGACCATCATCACCGCGAGCTTTGCCACCATCGCTGGACCACCACCACCACCACCACCGGACCACCACCACCACCATCACCAGCTCCGTTACCACCTAGAATCATACTTCACATCATGTTATAATTTGGATAGGTGTTTGAATAAATAGGGGAAAAAATTGAATAGATAGTCAAAAAAATTGAACAAATAGATATGAATTTGAATAGATAGAAAATAATTTGAAAAGCTAGATATAAATTTGAACAATTAGTCAAAAAAAAGTCAAACAGATAAAAAAAAAGGTCAACAGATAACTCAAGAGATAAAATTAAAAATAAAAATGTCTTTCAAAACAAATAAAAGACTTCTCACAAAATTATTTCACAAAAAATAAATTTCTCACTAATAAAAAATATCGACTAAATCTAATGCATTATATCATCCTCAAGTTAGACCTTTTAACCATTATTATTTTTATATTAATTTTTTAAAAATAATTAAAAAAAGAAAAAGTTACAACTGACTTTGTACTAGCGGCTCATCCAAACATGGACAGAACAGAACTGTGTTCGGTTAGGCCGTCCTAACCAGTTCCGAACCGGACCAGCTGACATTGACTTCAGAGGGTGTGTGTCGCGAGTCATGACTCACTCACGCTATGATTGATTGGGAACGCCCAAAAAGAACTCGCACTTGTAAAACACACGTGCCCTTTTTTGACCCATCACGACTCGCAGAAGCTTCGGAAACCCCCATTTGGCTACCCCCCCAATTCCTAGCTCTTTTCTCTCTCCTCTCTCTTTTCTCTCTTCAATTAACGAAGCTCGATCACTGGGTCTTTGATTCGAACAATTCACTGAATCTTCAACCAATTAGCCGCGTGTTTCGTTGAATCAGGTTAGTTTTATTGCCCCTACCTTCACATGCTGTCTCTGTTTCGATGCTCAATTGGCTTTCTTTTGTGCTCTCCTTTTTTCTGATCGAAGAGTGTTTTTCTTTGAATTCTTGCTTCAAAGTCTTTTTAAAGTTCAATTCTGATTGCTGTTATTGTTTTCTTGGATTGTTACCCGTGAAATTAAAATTCAGAAATTGAAATCTTGTATATTTATGCATTATTTTATTTTATTTTTTGCTTGAATGTGGTGTGTGATTGACAGGATTTCTGGAATTAATCAGTGAAGGGAACCAATCACAACTTGTTTTGAGGTTAATTGTGATCTGGGTTTTGTTCATTTTGTTACAGAATGCAATAGTGCAGTTTGTATCAACTTTTAATGCGAACACACTGATATTAGGGTTTTGGATTGGGAAGTGGGGTTATGGGTTCTCTGCAGTTGATGGGAATCAAAATGCCGGTGGGTCAGCAGCCCTCCACTGTAGAATTGAAACTTCAAATTGAAAGAAATCTTGGGTTTGAGAAAGCAGAAAAGTACTTTTGTCTTTTGAACCGATACTTGCGTCTCAAGATTAGCAAATCGGAATTTGATAGGCACTGCATTGGTACAATTGGGAGAGAGAACATCTGCCTTCATAATCGACTTATCCGAGCAATTATAAAAAATGCATGTGTTGGTAAGACTCCTCCACCAAAAGAGAGCAAAACTGGCAGTTCATTGAATGTTAAAGTGCCAAATGGGTATCAAAGAAGTAGTCTTCAGTCGCTCTGTAGAGACGTTTTTCCTCAGTCTCCACGGAAGGGAAGGTCACCGAGTTTTCGGGATCGGAAGTCTAAGGACCGTCCCAGTCCTCTTGGGCCTCATGGGAAGGCGCATAGTGTTGGATGTGAAGATTCTGTTCCTAAAATTCAGGAACAACAAAGTGCCACCGAGCTGCTTTCTTTAGGTAGTGGGACACCTCCTGAAGGAAACTCTGTGGAAGAGGGTGAAGAGGTTGAGCAAGCTGCTGGAAGCCCAAGTATTTACAGTAGAAGCCCTGTCAGAGCACCTCTTGGCATGTCCATAAACGGGAAAGAAACACGGAAAGTACTGCGTAAGGGATCGGCAACTGCCTCTCATATACACTCATGCCTCAATAATGATGAGCTTCCCAACACCAGTTCTCTGAAGACCAGATTGGAGCAAAAGTTAGAGATGGACGGCTTGAAAATTTCAATGGATTGCGTTAGCCTGTTGAACAACAGTATCGACATTTACCTGAAGAGGTTGATAAAGCCATGTTTGGAATTAGCTGCTTCAAGGTCTGGAAATAAGCACTCAAGTGAAGTACCTGATCAGGTTGTATTTGGTTTGAATGGGATGATGCCCGTGAGATATGTACATAAAGCAAACAGACCCGTTTTTGCATCCTTGTTGGACTTTCGAGTTACAATGGAATCAAATCCTAGGAGGCTTGGAGAAGATTGGCCAGTACAACTTGAGAAGATTTTCTTGCGTGCATCAGATCAAGAATGAGTTCGACTTCATCTAAGTGATAACGTGTTATTCTGATTCTAGGGTCCAGTCTAACAGTGACATAGACTCCACATTTTTATGAGTGATGCTGGAGGGCTTACATGCTTAAAGCTATGAAAATTTTGGATCAAGGCGATTAGGTTGTATGTATATACATCTCAGTGCTGATTACGGGACACGTCACGTGGTAAAGTATAGTGTCAACACTTGTAAAAATCTAGCCACTAAAAGTAGCTCAGTTGTCTACTTCGACTAATTTGTATAGTTTTCTCATCTTTTTAACAAAATAATGTTATTGGTAGGGTCCCAGAGCTCTAGAAAGGTGGAGGAGCAAGAGTTGTCGTGATAGAAAAGAGAAATGACTATATCCTCCACACTTGATCATCATTTGATATATTATCCAACCCCAGGCAATCTTAATTATTGGTGGTGGTTGAGGCCGTTTGATTGTATTTGTTTGATCATTCAATTTCTATAGTTTGTTCATCTTATTGACGTTTTGTTAATAAAGCTTGTCTTTGGAGTTGCCAGAATTATTGTGGTTTGAATTGTTGTTAATTTTGTAATGTTTTCAGTGAGCTTGAATAAATTATTTTTGTGAAAAAATAAAATGTCTCTCGCACGGTTTAATTATTTTATGGTTTTGTTGCTCACTTTGTTTATTTCTTGTGGATTTTTCTGTGTTGCCTAGTCACTTTCAAGTTCATCCTTTATACATCACAGGATGAAGAACAGGGTACTAGACATGTCTATTCCCTTTTCTTTGATGACATGTGGGCTATTGATGCATGGACTGTAGTGGAATTCAGTGCAAGAATAATTGATGTCAAATTGAGCTTTGATGCAATATATTATACATACAAAAACGTGCACATGCACATTCTTTGGTGGTGTTGATGCCACAAAAGAGTTCATTGCTTCCACTCTATTTAATTTTCATCCGTCGAAACAGAAACACTTAATGTGATGGGGAAGCAATAGTTCCAACTCTGGCATTATCCTATTCTTTTTATTTTAGAGTCGATCTTTTCTGTATCATTTAAAATTGTAGTCTACCTTCATAATTTACAGATTGACTTCCTCTGCTGGGGAGAGTCCTTAAAATACAACTGCAAGTTTCACGTACTTCCTGGAAATCATGTAGGGTCATTTGGGGATTGAATTTTGTTGTTTTTTATTTTTTGGGGTAAGGAATGTTATATTCTGTTTGATACCATAGGCTATAGTTCTGTTAGGGATCCCGGAATAGTTGAACTTCAAAGGAGAGAATATGGGGGATAGCAATGTCTAAGGCTTGGGCTAACAAGGTGCTTTAAAATGTAAATGAATAATAGTTTTGTGGACTCAAATTACATTTCAATTTTCTTCTTGCAAATAATTTGCATGAATTTACGCCCTTTGATTTCAGTGTACAATAGTTTCATTGACTTATATTACATTTTAATTGTGTGCTTGCAAATAGTTTTCTTGAATTTCTCATTCCGACTATACCGTGGACCTGTAATAGCAAATGGATATTCACCTGTACTATAAATGTTGTTTTTTCTTTTGTGAAACTAATATTGAGTCTACACATGAATGCTTGTTGCTTCTTTTATGTTTCTATGTGTATTTGCCAGCCCCAAATGATTGCACATTTAAATTATATAGGAAAGTAGATGGTATTAGGTTCTTTGATAATGGTGAATGATATTTGATTCAAGTGAAATTTGCAGTATTATGACTCTTAACTCCTCCATTTTAATTCTCATTTGTGTCTTTTAGTATTTGGCATTCAAGTATAATTTTATCTTGAGACTTGAGATGAAAAGAGCTAACAGATGTGATCTTTTTGAACAATGTTGGATGATATTTGCCTCAACAGCTGAAGTGATTTACGGTAAACACGAACAAACTCTTTAAAACTCTTATGGATTTCATGACTGAAATTTATTTGATCTGTTGTGGAATCGGAGATAATTGCCACTAAATAAGAGTAAAGTTGGGTACACAAAATTCAACAACTGAAAAATGTGCAGAATATTCATGTATGTATTTTTCTACCGTTAAATTCTGTGTATATACAACTGCCACTAAAGATAAAACTAAAAATAATTTGTCGTTCTGAATTTATTGGCATATATTTGATTGTATCTCTATGTCATATTTGAAAATCGATGTTTCTAGGAATTAGACTCTAGATTGGTTACCCATATGCCTCATGGTCTATATGTAAGTACCAGTTATTTTACTTTTTATACTATTTAAATTGTGTTTGAATCTTTAGGAGGGGGGGGAGAGGAAATGTGAATGTTATGAAAGCTTATTTTTTCTTTTACCAAATCATCTACCTTTTTCTGTTCTTTTTAAAAAATTATCAACAAATCCGAAGAAGAAGAAGAAGAATACAAGGCATGAAAGTTAAAACAAAAATACAATTATATGGCTTCATTTTCGAAGTTATTTATTCCGAAATCCAAATCAAATTGCAAGACAACATAGAATGTCTTGGATTATTACAATATCATAGGACAATCCAATACATTTATAGTGCATACACAAACCCACCCGAAATATTTGTCTAGTCAAAGCTAACTTAAAAATCATACATAAAATTCTCTCTTATCAATTCACTCAAACAAAATCATTAACCTGAATTTGGGTTAATATTCATCTTAAAATTTTGAAAATTTGCAATTTTTTTTAATTTTATATATTAATCAATTAAACGCTCCACAATCGCGGCGAATGTTCCCGTTGGATCCGGTTTTGACTCCGACCCGACCCAGTTTGGTCATGGCCGCCACAAAGGCTTTCTGGAAAGCAGGCGAGTTGTTGGCCCAAGTATTGACAGTGGGCTTGGACCTTTGGTCCGTAAAGAGGACTTGGTCCGAGGTGAATAAGCCCTTGCCTTGCTGGAGATTTTTGAAGTACATATTGTCAAAGGTTCTAGGGGTGTTTGGGTCCATGTTGATGGCTATCCTGGGGTCTACATTCCTTGGGCACATGGATTGCAATTGAGCTGCATATGGTTTGCTGAGCGTGGGGTCCACTGGGTTCTGACGGCTGAAATTGTATATCCGGTTTGCAAACCTGCTACAGTGAGAGAATCCAACGGTGTGTGCAGCTGAACAGAAAATAAAATAAAATAAAATGAATAAGCATTAATTTACTTGATCTATTTTATCTCTTTTTAAATTTTTTTTCCAAGAAGTCATAACATAAAAATATATACGTATATGTAATATTCATCATTATATTTGGAAGGAGAAAAAAAAAATCATATTAGAGGGAGCAACAATAGGAAGACGACCAATTGAAAAGCTAAAAAGAGTTCAAAACTTAGTAATAATATGTGATTATTTATTTATTTTTGTTGAGAAAAAGTATGTGCTTAATCATGTGTCACTTTTTATGGTTGAGTTGTGAGTCTTTAATATAAATTGTTAGAAATTGAGGTAGGTCCCCTACAAAATGTCATTTTCATGGACTATGTATAACATCATGACGGTGATGCGCACCAATCAAAATAAATAAATTAGGCATTATTCATTTTTAATCTTGGTGATGCCAGCTAATACTTGGACTAGTATATGCAACAATCAGGAATAAAAACAAGGGGAAAAGAATAATAGGATCAACATATATATATATATATATATCCATGTGGTAACATAAAAGGCATATTGTCTTTCGGTGGGAACTACTTCAAGTAATTATAAAAATATAGAGATACGGCAAGTTTTAACTTCAGTTGTGTATTAGTTTAGTACAAGACAGACTCACTTTTCTCCTTTATATTTTTGCATTTACTTTTGAGTAATTCTTATTGGAACACAATTTCCTCTTACAAAAAGCCGGTGGACCTCTCTAATTGGTCCGGTTGGGCATGGAACTACTTCAAGTAATTATAAAAACAACAATGCTAGAGGGTCACAATTTTTGTGGTCATAATGGTTCAAAACTGTCAAATAGACGTCGTTTTGACATGTTTTGCACTCAAAACGACGTCATTTTGACAGTTTTGAACCATTGTAGCTACAAAAATTGTGACCTTCAAACATTTTCCTTATAAAAATATAGAGATACCGCAAGTTTTAACTTCAGTTGTGTATTAGTTTAGTACAAGACAGACTCACTTTTCTCCTTTATATTTTTGCATTTACTTTTGAGTAATTCTTATTGGAACACAATTTCCTCTTACAAAAAGCCGGTGGACCTCTCTAATTGGTCCGGTTGGGCATGGCGGCAATTGGTTACGGAGAAAACTATTTAGAACATGGTAAATAATTTTACTTAGAATCAGAACATGTATGCATAAAATAAAATCTAGGCACACATTGATATTACTAGATAAAAATTCTGAGATTATAGTGTTAATGTTGTTTACCTGATAGAGCAATCATGTCTGTTTGAGAGAGGCCATGAGCAGCAAACATGGAATTGAGCTGGTTCAAATTGAAACCTGGCTGAGGCAGCTTCCCATTTACACTTGCTGCTGTGGAGCTCAGCCCATCCAATCTTCCCAACTCTACTGCGTACGATGGTCCACCAGACTGCATATATAATTTACAATATTGTGTTGTGGGCATTAGAAATGACAATCTTACATTATTAACGCGATAATCGTATTTTTGAATTAATAATACAAACCAGTGCAACGACGTCGCGGGTAGCCATGGCAAGAATGTCGGCACAGGAGACCTTGTTCCTGCAACTTGGGATCGCGTCAACTGCTGCTTTAGCTTTGATCACCGTGTCGAATCCATCTCCGGCCAGCGACAGATTGTCTGGGTGATCCTTTTCCGCTTTGTTGTTCCCGGAAGATGAAATTATTACTGAAGCATCACATCCCTATTATTTTGAACAAACCAATATTAGTCTTCTAACCATTATAAGTCTACTCCAAAATTTTCAACATGGGTGCGCATGCCCAGTATAATCATTCCAATGCTAGCCATGATTCTAAGTTTTGAGTGAGGTCTCAGTATCAGTTGAAGTCATAAATTTTTTAAAATCATTGTCTCAACTATGAATTGACTCTATCAATTGTAAATTGACTCTGAATTGATATGTCGCAAAAAAGAAAATTCCAATAATTGACTCTGAATTGATATGTCGCAAAAAAGAAAAATCCAATACTTATTGGCCGATATTTATAACGATGATGCTAGGTGATTAGTTGTTATTAGTTACCTGGACAAAGCAATCATGGAAGAAGAGACGGAGAGTAGCAGGGACCGTGACAAACGTTTGTTGAAACTTTTGTTTAACGGCATTTCTAACGATGTTTTCGACATTTTCGACGTTTGGACATACATTGGCGTAGTAGTTTTGTCTGAGTTGTGCCGATGCCAAGCTGAGACACAGAGAAACCGACCACACGGCTATTACAAGATTGATGAATTGACCCATTTGTTGAGATCTGAAGTGAGAGAGAAAATAAATGCAAGGGATTTAGATGTGGGTCGCTTTAGTATGTTTGAGCTCTATATATAGATTTATGTGCGTGTACAAGTGAGTAGGCTGTCATGAGACACTTGTGTTAGAATTTAGAATATAAATCTTTTTTGACAACTAATAAAGTAGTGATTTCGAAAGAGGCACTAATGTTTGGTTGAGAGGCCGCCTTGGCTTGGCTTGTCATCGTTGTCTGTAATTTTCTGGTATTCTTGTATTGTAGCACATTGAGTTTGAATCCCAAAACTGGTCCAAGAGAAGCAGCTAGCACTGAATGGGCAGCTCCTTCAGCAGCCAGAGTACGCGATGGTCCCATTATTTAAAAAATAATAATAATAATAATAATAAGATAAATTATAAATAAATCTCCTGAGGTTGTTTAAAGTACAGATTGCTTCATGTGATTTGGAAAATTACAAATATTTTATTGTCAAAATTTTTTATTTAACAGAATTAATTAAACAAATAAAATTCATAATTGTTCATCTATACAATAATAAAATTAACTAAATTCTTAATTGAAACATATTTATAACATTATTAAAAACTGTTAATTAATTTTATGATATATTAATAAAATAAACGATTTATTATGAGATTAAAAATTTTAAAGAGTGAAATGTAATTTTTAAAATTATAATAGATGATTCATATTTATATTAAATTTTAGAGGATGTACTTGTAATACACTAAAAAAGTAATATAAAAGGATAAAGATAGGTAGGTTGCTCCCAAAAAAGTAATCTAAATTTTATCACGACAAGTCAAGTGTGAGATAGATTGAAATTAATGTTGCGTGAGTCACTTTTAAAATTAATATGATTTATACGTCTTATTTTCTAGGGCAAATTATATATACCCCTCGAGGTATGGTTAAATTACAGATATCCCCCTGAGGTTTCGGAAATTACATCCTGCCCCCTGAGGTTTGTATTTTCATAACAATTTGCCCCCTGAGGTTTATATTTCATAACAAATTACCCCCTAATTTCTTATGCAAATATAGCATTCAGGGGGAATTCGTAATTTCTCAAACCTCAGGGGGGTATCTGTAATTTAGCCAAACCTCGAGGGGTGTATATGTAATTTGCCCTATTTTCTAGGTGCTTTCTGAGTATATTTTTGAAGTTTCGAAAATTAAAAAGCAAATTATATTTACAATCTTTAAAATTTTAATTGTATCAATTTTATTTTTAAATTTTTTATATTATGGAAATTTAGTTTAATTTGGTATTATTTGTTTAGAAATTGGTCTGAAATTTGAGACAAGATAGGGGCTGTTTTCTGTAGCCTAAATGAGTTGATTATAATTTATTTTAATTTGAGAATCTGTGTCAAATTGTTTAGTGTAATTTTTGCTTCTTATTAGGTAGAAAAATATTAAATAAGCTAAAAGGGGATTATTTAGAAGTTGGGGGAAGGAGGGTGCTTTAAGTATCTGTTATCTGATTATCAATTTTTAACTTATAATAAATGAAAAATGCTATAGACCCCAATTATTAAATATTTTATCAAACCTCTCACATAAGTGTGAGACATACACGCATGTAATTTGTATGAGTCTCACACCCATGTGAGAGGTTTGGTAGAATATTTGATAATTTATTTGAAGTTTCTAACATAACTCATAATAAATTACACTAAATAGGGCCATAGTTCAATCACCCTTCTCAAAGTAATCGAGAAATTGATCCTCAATTTGAAATGGTTCATTTACTTTTAAACATGTCAACCCTAAAATCTGAAAATAAAATAAGAGCTTTTGACTTAGTGATTGTTGATACCATTTTGTAGCGTAAGGTTGTGAGTTCAATTCATATAAAAAATAGTTTAATATTATTTGTTATGTCTATTTATGTAAATGTTGTTGGGTTGGTTGTTAGATTTTGTGATTATTGACTTTCTAACCATCGTTAGATTTTAATTATCTAATTTATGATAAATTTTCACATATTTTTAATTACTCTATTATTGTTAATAATAATAAATTAACACAAAAGCCAACTCTGCTCTCAAACAGCACTGTGGTGATTGAAAAATCAACGAAGTGTGAGTGAAACAAAATCTAATCTAATTTGGACCACGTACATTTCTGTGTAAACTTTTTATTTTTATTTTTTATTTTTCTGTTAACTGTCTCATTATTTTTACTAAATTTAAACTTAACTCAAATTTACCACTTCTATCAATTTTACAATTTTGTTTATTATTTTTGAGTTTAGCATTAGTTGTTTCTTAATAAAATTAATATTTTTCTTCTTATCCTAGAGTACTGCTATTAATTACCCATCAATTATTTTAGACTCCTATATTTTTAGTTTTTTTTATTACAATAATAACCTCAAATAAAATTACTAAAAAGGATATCAATAATTTTGGGACACCCTGTCTTACAATTAAGCCCACACAGCCACTACATCATAAATAAGGTTTTATGAGAGCACCAACCTCCATTACCCCTCATCCATCTTCCCCAAATCTCATCTACCCTCAAAACCTTGAAAATCCTTTGGCGGCAATATTTTTGCGGTAATGGTGACAATCATTTGATTACTTACATTTCTTTAGTAATGACAATGAGTGAAAATTTTTTCGACAACCACAACTCAATAAGATGAGAAGAGTACAACAATAAAAATTTAGAGGAGATTCATAATTTTGATAATGTTCTTAACTAAGATGAGATTGACCTTGTAATGATAAGTTTCTTTAAAAAAAAATAACAAAAATAATAAAAAATGTATCTCATTTTTTCAAGAATGAACTCTCCAACATATGACTAAAATTCGGGAACAAAAATCCGAACATTATTTATTTGTTCGAAAACAAGTAATCAAATATTTTTTATTTGTTTGGGAACAGATAACCAACTCTAACAATGGTCAAACTGAAGAAAAGGATAAGGCAGCAAAGATCACAATCCAAGCCAGTTTTGTTAGGACAATTGATAGTAATCACACTTGATTCTTCTTCTTTTTTCTCAAGCACAAAAATTGCAACCCAATTTCTTGTTGAAAATTAAAAACCCTACATTTATTTCCTTACCGTAAGGTCATGGACAAGTATGTGAAGATGAAATAATAATCACATTCATGAGTTTTGTTAAGGTTGTGGGAAGGGAGGTTTATTGGGGTGTGATGAGGTGTGTATTCAATTGAATGGGTGTAATATTTTCACAAAAATAATTTTGATATTATTTGAGGGAAGAAAAGAAATTTTAAAGATTTTAAAATTCATAAATAGGAATCTAAAAAAATAAAAGTCTAAAATAATTAATGAGGTATTAATAATAATATTCTTATTATAATACAAGAAGTAAGCTTATGGCAAATCAAAGCAGAATAATATTCCGTTGATTATCAAATATCTTTCTTCTTTATATTTTGTGAGTGTGTGAATAAGCTGATTTGGATAAGATTTTTGCTAATTAATCTATCAATCATGTTCCTACACGCTACCCTACATCAAAAAGCTACCAAACAGAACCATATAATTGAGAATTTTTTTTTTTTTTTTTTTTTTTGATTCATATAATTGAGAATTATGCTTGGCGGTTGAGTCAATCACATCATTGTCCGTGAGCAAACACCATGTGTAGGAACAAACAATCAAGCAATTATTCAAAAGCAAATAATGAAATCAAAGAAAAAGCACACAAACACAAATATGAGACAAAAACACAACAAAAATGCTTTAGAGTTCTAATATAGGAGCTTTAATAGCTTTAATGGGAAGATGGGTCTCATGCTGATGTGATGTTTGTGTCTTTTTTTTTTTTTTTTGCTTTGACACATCATTAAAGCTCAAATTAAAACTCTATATTTAGAGTCCTCTATCATTTCCCAAAACACAAATATGGATGGATAGTAACTTAAACCAACTAGGAAACAAAAAAAAAAAATTAATTTACTCAATTAAACACAAATATGAGACAAAAAGATCAAGCACTGGATAGTAACTTAAACCAACTAGGAAACAAAAAAAAAAATTAATTTACTCAATTAAACACAAATATGAGACAAAAAGATCAAGCACACAAACACACATGGGTAGGTCTAATTCATTTGCCTCATATATATAACTAGTGACAACTTTTGCTATGTAAGGTATTCAAAAAAATTAATAATATATTTTTATATAAAATAATATAAATAGTTAAATTTTTGTATGCAAATAATGAAATCAAAGAAGATTAAAATTTACAATTTAAGTTTCACAATTTTATAACAATTTATTTATTATTTTTTAATTTATCACAAATTTAATCATATAACTTTAAATCTCCCTTACTAGAATTACAAATTTAGGTGAGCTCAATCCAAACAACTTAAGTCGAGCTTAAAATTTTTTATATATTGAACAACATAGTTTTTAATTAAGTGAGGACATATGCATAAATTCAAAATTTTAAATTAAATTTGAGTGGACTTGGGCGGAAATACCAAATAATTTGAGCAACCAAAACAAAATTATATATATAAATACATAAATTATTTCCTAATTTATTTTTTAAAATAATAAATAAAATTAATTAAAATTTTAATATTAATGAACAAAAGAAAAAGCAATATAGTTAAGATTTTTAATAGAATTTTTCTTGAAAATATTTAAAAAATACACCTTTTAAAAAGGGATCATTGAATAAAGGGTTGTTTGGAAAGTGTCATATTAGCTCATTTTTCTTATTTTTTTTATATTTTCTAAGTTATATCACATCTCTACTTTTTACATAATTTTTCGTAAAAAGTAAAAAAATATACTTAATTATTTTTTTTAGTCACATCAAATATTTACTTTTCTATACATATTTTTGTAAAAAGCAAAAAAGCATACTTATTTAGCACTTCCCAAACTACCATGAAGTTGATATTAAAAAAAATTACTTTTTATAATGGCATAAATAATTTAAATATGATTTTTTTAGAAATTCTTTATAATTTAAAAATTACAATAAACTATTAAATAGAATAGAAACAAATTTCTTAGAAAATAAAAGTATTTGAATAAAAAAAAAGGTAAGAAGAAAATTTAATATGGTATTTCCATTTAATCTGAAAATAATTCTAGATGAACAATAAATTATCACCTATAACAGTCTTCTTTTTTTTAAATAAAAATTTGTAATGAACTATTACTTTTAATAAATAAAAAAATTAATGTTTCTTTCTAATTTATTTTAGCAAAAGTAA